ACGCGTGTTGTGTGATTGCATGAATAATTGCACAATTTTATGTGTTTTATTTCATTTTCGATGTGACGGGACAATGAGGTGTGGACGAGGGAAAGGAATAAATTAATCAGTGATAAGTATAGCAGAGGAAAGAAAGCGGAGAAAAAGAAAGTGTATAGAGAATAGTTTGGGATGAAGTTTGAAAGGGATCATCGTTTTATTAATCGATTTCTGGTGAAATAATTTATCAGTAATGAATGATAGAAATAAGAGTAATGGAATGACAAAGAAGGATAGATGATAAGTAGTTGGGTAAGTATTATGTATGTGATTAGTGAAAGAGAGTACTTAATCATGGCTGTATGATGTAATATATCCATGCAAATGTTGAGGCGTTTGTTCGTTTCGTCTCTGAGTGTTTATATATTTTATGGATATCAGCATGTATTCATGATATCAGTCAGCACTCATTCATGCCTCTAATCATTATTCTCTTTGTGTAGTTGCTATCTAGTGCGGTAGCAGCAGGGTGCACTTGGTGATTGCCGACTGAGCGAGCATTACCCACCGTACACGCCATATCCACCTATTACAAATAATATCTCATGATGTTATTAGATATGAAATTATGTAATATCCCAGGCATACGCAAACGTTATTCAAATACACGTATAATCAAACAGATAAGCGAATGAGCACATACAGAATTTGTGCACACTCGCTTATCTGTTTGGATATGCGCACATTCGTAGAAGGCAACACAAAAATTATTTGATGATATGATTAGGATTGCGGTGAGCATGAGGATGATAGTAATAACAATAATGATGATGAACAAATCAGCATGGAGCCGTAGCCATGAAGCCAACACACAAACACACATGTAGTCGCAGTTATACTTATCCTTTTCAGTTTATTGTTATTTATATGTAAGTGAGTAAGGTATCATACTAACAGTTATTTCGACGTTATCGATTCAACATTATCATTGATCTCGTTATCTTCTTCCTTTTCATTGTTTCTAACATTTGTGTGCCTGTATATCCATAAAATATCCTCTTCTACATTTATTTTTATTATCCTGCACCTGTTATCCTGCAAAATATCCTACATTTTTTGTTATCCTGCATTCATCCAACTACGCTTACAATCAACTTCTTATCACTCATAACAGATAATATCCAGTGCAATTATTATATGCATGGTTGATTTGTTTCTATCTCTTATATCCATTCGTACTTCTGCTATATCCCGTCTGTATCCATCTCTGTGCTAATCATTTCATTTCACTCCGTTCATTTCACATTTTCTCCCTATCTTTATTCCTCACAAACAAACATACAAACTCTCTTTTCTTCTCCGTCTCCCCTCATCTTATCACAAAACAGTATTCGTATTCATCATGCTTAATGTGGTTCTTTCTGAAAATTTTGATAATGGTTGAGATATGATACTATTTTATTGATTCAGTCAGTCAATATGGCTATAGGGGATTGATTCTGAAAAATAATGCTAGGTGGAAAAGGGTAATTGATATGTGTTAGTTGATATGTGTGTGTGCTTTACTGCATCTATAATGCTATTCTTTATGTGATCTGTCCTCTAATGGTTTTGGTTTGATTTGATCGAGTCGAAAGAATAATATTTTCAAACAGTGAGTGAGTAAAATATGTGAACGCTCAAAATGAAATCAAAATGAGATTAAAGATGAGGAGGAAGAGGGAAGGAGGAGGGAGGTATAGGAGCGAGCAGTACTATGTACAATTGAGGGATAGCAATTTACGAATATGGATTGATTTAACGATATATGAGATATAGCTGCTGTACGGCTGATAGAGGTGGATGGTTGTTTAAGTGATACGAAAGCGGAGAGTGTTGTTTGTTTAAGCAAAATCGGTTAGCACCACTATTGAATCGACATAACAGAAAGAGTGTTGGCAATGATAGTGCTGCTGTTGCTGTTACTGGTGGTGATGATGATGGTGATGTTGATAACAAAGAAGAAGTATACATGTGGAGTGTTAGCTGTTAAGCGTAAGCAGAATTTATTATTGATATCAGTAGTATATGAATGAATGCATTTATATATCTATTGATATTTGCTATAAGAGTACGTAGATGTGCGTAGACGTTGTGTGATTGATATAAATGCTGAACACAAATAGAAATAAATGAATAATGTCCATTATAGACATCAGATTATATTATATCATATCACATTCTGTATGTTATAAGCATGCTGTGTGATCACCAACATTATCTTCATCGCAAGGGGTTTGCAACTGCAATTTTTTGTGCTCATGATAATATATCAGCGCAGAATATTCAGTGGGATATGGAGTGCTATTACAGTTGTATTCTGTACTTAAGTATATATATATATATATATATATATATATATATATATAACGGGGGGGACA